TACTTCCCCTCTTTAGAACAGGCACCTTGACTTGTAATTGTCTGCTTCAGTTGTATTTCTTTTGTTCTTTCAAGATGAAGTAGAACTTATGTTACACACACACACACACACACACATATAACACATATATATGTTACATATATGTACTTTTCAAGAATATATGCAGAATATCTTCTAAACACCCATAAGTCTAACTATAAAGCCCTTTAAATGGATTTAGTAGGGCTTTAAAATATGATTTCGACCTGTCGATAGAATTTCAACTGGTTCTGATACTCAATTACTTTGCATGCATTAAATGCCAATCTCCAGGCTCCATGCTGATGGAACTTGTTGAGTAAGTGCTTATCACCTAAACTGGCAGATGAAACATGATAAAGGAAGACATAACTAACCAAACAAGGTAGTGGGTAAAAGTTACTTGAACATTTATAACAGAAGAAACAAACCTTAAAATTGGAGATTCTGATGATTTAAAGGGGATATGCAGTGATTAAACCACCTCAATGAGGATTTTGTTAGACAAAGAGGAAGTTGAAAACAATTCATTATAGATAAGATGAACAGAAGACAAAGACAACACTTAAAAGTGCTGTGGTCATTATGGCAACAGAAAATGCACAATCATGATAAGAGGAAGCAGTATGATTGCAATTAATCTAAAACAATAGATTGCAACTGGGTCTTGGACAGAATGACATATTTGAACTTGAAGTGATCTGCCTGATCTAAAATGGGGAAACTATATATTACTACATATGTATTATATGATAGTATGGTTAAGTAAAATAGACAGGTGATAGATTTTAACACATTCAAATTAATTTGATGGTCAATGACTTGAAAATCATATGCATTTCCAATCTGCACTCAGAGACTGCTTTATGTTTCAGAGTAGTATGCTTGACAAACTTTTTCACTTGTGACCTCTTTTTACTGAAGAAAGGCAAGACAAGTGAGGACCACCAGAAACTTCTCAGACTCATTACATGTTTGATTTTGAATGGAATTTTAGTCATTGCATGCTGAGAAATCTTTTACAGTTGCCAAAATTTTCATGACCTCTGCATATCACCCATTATGTGTACAGTTAAAAAAAACTGGATATTAGGGAACTAATACTTTGACTTCTTTTTTTCTATGTTACATACTGACCTTTCTAATTGCTGATGATTGCTAAGTGAACTTGATATTTCTGCTGAGCATTCTGGGTCTAGAATTTACCTGGGAAGCCTCACTAATGGTGCGTGTGTGTGTGTGTGTGTGTGTGTGTGTGTGTGTGTGTGTGTGAAGAAATGTAATTTTTATTGAATAAAATTTGCTTAGAAATATATGAAATCATTGAAGGAGAGGCATACATGTCTAAGAGAGATCACAGGCTTCTACAGAGTGGAAAAAGTAGTAAAAGAAACATAGACAAGCAAGTGAGAATCATGTTCAAGGAAGAACATGGCCTTGAAGAGCAAGCTGGGTAATCTATGTTTTTGACAAGCTTATTATGTTTTATTTTTGAATTCATGAAAAACCCAGCATGATATAAATACTTTGAGGCATTTTGTATCACAAAATGTGTCCTGCTTTCTTTAGTATAATCTTTCAAGTTTAACCTTATGGGCTTTTCATTTACTCCCACTACCATTATTATTATTTTACATGAGCTGGTGTTTCCCTGAGTTGAAGCTTTTGGGTCTTTTTCAGTTAATTGATGTCCTTCTTGAAATAAATGCTATAATGGATCTTCTTTTGATGGGGAACAGTTGACAGTACAGAGCTAGCTGGGAGACTACTGAGCTCTAGCCCTCAGGACTGATCAATAAGGTGACTTTGCATGGGTAGTAGAGCTGGGTCTACGTTGTATCATAGGTTTCTTGGGTCTGATGACTCTGACTTTTATCCTAAATATTAAAATAACATATAGATAATTTTTATATTCAGGTGTCGTTGATGATATTAGACACGGAGATTATTAGTATCAATATTGAACCAGGTTAATAAAATGTTATTATTATAACCAGATAATTTCAAAACAAACAAACAAACAAACAAACAAACAAACAAACACTGTCCTCCTGTTGGAGAGCCCAGCAAGCTACCGAGAGTATCTCGCCTGCACGGCAAGGTCTGGCAAGCTACTTGTGACACGTATTCGATATGCCAAACACAGTAACAACAAGTCTCGCAATGGAGACATTACTGGGCCCGCTTGAGCCTGCTTGAGAGGGGCAGAGGAATCGAACCAGGCTCGGCCAGGCTGGCTGCGTGCAAGGCAAACACCCTACCACTGTGCTATCGCTCTAGCCCTGATAATTTCATGGCTTTAATTTTGGCCCTAAATTTTCACAAAATGAAAAGTATAAATGTTAAGAATAAAAAAACATATTAACATGACAGTTGCTCGTAAAGTGAACTTAACTAAGCTTTTTATCAGGGTATCTGGGAAAGTGGTTTCTGGTGGATGAGGGCTAATCATTGATTCTGTCCTGACCAAGGCAAGTCCGCTTCCTTCTCTTTGATTGTTTAGTGACCTTTGGGAAGAAGATTTCAGAGTTGACCAGGTTCAAAGTAATCTCTAGATTTAACACTGTATGGTTTTGACAATACACAAAAATCATTCTTTATTTTTCAACCATGGAGAAGGGACACATTGGAAAGCTGAATTCACTCAGAAGAGAACGAATATTCCTGAATGCACCTCTTTTCTTACAAGGATAAACTTTCAGCCTTACATCATGAACTTTGATGAACTTATATCAGAGTCTAGATTCAGCATATAAGTGTAAGACTGTGAAAATGGAAAATTTTATAATTAGTCTCCTGGTGAGTCTTCAAAGCCTTTCTCTAGTGATTTGAGTTGCTATTTGTCTCATTTAGTCATGTCTGCTTTGCCATATTAATTAATGAATTCTAGAAATCAGGCACCACCATGCCTTGGTTAATCTAAATTTTCAAAGAGGGAAGCCACCTCTCAGAAGCCCCAAATAATGAAAAATAACTCAGTTTTAGTATTTCAAATACAGCAACCACAAGTTCTTTCTTTCTTTTAAAATTTTTGAATAAATTACCAAAGGCTAATGGTAGGGGAAGTTTGTAGAGGAATTAGAAATATAGAAATATGATGTTCAAAGAGAGTGACTTTGTGAATAAAACTATTTGGGAGGGATAGGGTTAGAAAAAAAGCACCATGTTTAGAAGGTTTTGCAAATATTTGCTTCTTTATTGCTCCTTCACTTGGAGTGAGAAATAAGTTTCATGGAATTGGCAGTGAGGTAGTCAACCAACCCCAGGAATGCCTATATGTCAAAAGGAAACCTTTTCCCTCCAGCAAATAAAATATTAAGAGGGCTCAACGAAAACCAGTGGGAAGTGGCCTGAAGAAGGAGATGAAAAATTAATTTTAATGCATGGGAGACTAAGTAATTCACTTATTTCACAACCTCAATCAATTTTAATATTTTAGTATTTAATGTGAATGTGGTGCTTCTTCAATAATATTCTAAAAGTTGTTTCTCCCTTTTTGGCGTTTGTCCTCCAAGTACTTTCTATTTTCTTAACCATTTTTCTTAGTCTTGATAGAATGGTTTTAGCAGATTTTACAATAGTCAAAGCAAGACTATACCCTCTTCTCTTTGCACTAGTTTTAGAAGTTATGCGATTACTGAATAGGGAGAATAGGCTGTAGGAAGGAACCAAACCAGCTTTTAGGCAGGCTGATTTTTGGAGAGGCCACTGAACCCCTGAGAGCTCTCAAGGCTTTGGGGACAGGCCATTGTGTGGAGAGCAAAATGGAGTCATTTAGTCATTAGTTTCTCAGATATCAGCCCAAGAGGGGAAGCTGTCTGCCTTTCTCCACAATTTAGACACTTATCTTACAAATTCACCAAGCTCCGTGATTTCTGAACAATGCCAGCTGTTAGGGAGCCATTTCCCTGGCATTTTCCCCATAATTTGATTTGAAAGGAAAAGATTAAACTCAGTCCGACCCAGAACTGTCAGCCCAATGCCCTCAAAGAGTTTGACATGAAAAGAAAAAAAAAAAAAGAAAAAAAAAGCATCTTGCAGACTCTTAGATGAAGAAATCATCTGTACCTGTGAATTAAGGAAAGACAGTAAAGAAGTGTTCATAGGCCAGAACATACCTGTGGGAAGTACCAACCACAGAGATTTCTCTTCCCAAAAGATGGATTAAAGTGAAAGCTAAACTCACTCCCCTTATTGACTAATTTTTGGATTATGTTAATTTTAAGAATAAAGGTGAGATTGGTATTGAAATGCTAATTAGCCTGCATGACTATGCTAGCATTTTAAAGATAGTCATAAAAGCTAAGTTTCTGAGGGTGCAATGGTAACTCATTCTACTCAGGAATAAACATTGTATTTGTTCTTCCAGATCTTGGTAAATGTATTCAAATGTTTACACTGTATTGAATGCTTGTTTTACTCAATGTTCTTCTTACTATAATGATTTAGATGATAATCTTGCCTTTGCTTATCTGGAAACGTCATTGATTCCTAGAGAGGCTAACTTGTTCAGAGTGAAGCAGCTAATAAACACTAGAACTGCCCCAAATTTAAATTCTAGGGACTTAGTTACAGAAACATACATCTTCCTTTAAAAAAGCAGCCAGGAGATATTCCCTGAGCCACACCAGGAGTGATCCCTGAATGTAGAGTCAGGAATAAGCCCCTAGAAGTGCATGATTTGCTCAAAGCAAACAAATAAACAACCTAAAGAATGCTCAATAAAACAGGGTTTGAAGGGACTTTCCTGGATATAGTTAAAGCCATTTACCACAAGCCGAGAAAAAACTTTATACTCAATGGTAGAAATCTGAAAGTCTTCCATCTAAGATAAAGCATGAATCAGGGCTGCCCACTCTCACCACAACTATTCAATATAGTATTGTGGGTCCTTGCCATTTGAAGTCCTTGAAGCAACTTCAAAATATTCTCAATTTCCTTTGATCAAGTAAGTCAGAATTTAATATCAAGACATGTGTATAATGCTCACTTTGGCGGCACATTGATTAAAATTGTAACAATACAGAGATGATTAACCTGGTCCCTGTGCTTGGATGACATACAAATTCATGAAACATTTCATAGCTGTTCCATGTTTTTAGAAAAACTTGTCAAAATGAATCCAAGTGTTTCATGTGAAGATGTTGAGTCATTTCTATTATGCATTCCTATCTCGTGCAGAAAACATCGATTAAAACCAACCCAAACCCCATTGCCCTGTTCTTCCAGGTGCCTTATAGTCATCCCATGAACTGTCTCTGGCACCATATAAACTCATTAATGGCCATGATCCAGAGACTCACAAATAAATCTCAGAAGAGATCAACAATCTGCAGAGATGCCTCTTGACCCCAAAGTCACCAGCAGTTAAAAATTGAACTCCAGCTATCTCACCCTATTTAAAATATTAGAATTCTTGGAGTAAATGTGGCTGTGCTACATTTCATACTCTATACAACTGATGTACCAGGAGTAGCATGCCACATTGCATAGGGTGTAGAGTAGAAGGCAACTGATATCAATCAAAAAAAAAATTAACACACAAGGCTTAGCCTGTAGCAATAAGTTAGCAAATCTCTGATACAAGGGCTTAATTTCTCCAGGGTGAAATACAACAATCTTGACACACTTTCTTCTAAGGAAACTTTTATGACCATTTTTAGCAGATTATTCATAATAAGTAATACAAAATAAAGTATTTTTATATTTTTTATATTATATTTTTTATCTAGGGCTTGCTATTGGGGCAGATTTGGCTGGTGATTGGGAAAATTCAAAATAATGGTGATGGGAAGGTGTAATGGTAGTGGGATTAGTGTTGGAATATTGAATAATAAATTATTTTAACAAATTTATAAAAATAAATAAACAATCCTTACCAAAAAATTCCCAACCAAAATGTCAAAAAAGGATATATGCATATATATGATATGCGTGTGTTTATATATATATACATGTAGATAGATACATGTAAAGTCATATATACATATATAGTCAGAACAAAGAGCATAATGTATTTTTTAGTTTTGAAATAATTCAATTCAAATAATTCAAACTCCTCATTTTATAGATGAAAAGTTAATTTCAAAAGTATAGAAAATTGTCCTATGGGCCTGACTCAATAGGTCCTAGTTTTGGTCTCCTATACTCAAAGGAAGTGTTTGCTTCAGTGAGACATTTCAAAAGCAATAGTACTTAATTTTTTAAAATTTTATTTTTTAAAATTTTTATTAGTGAGACATCATGAGGTACAGTTGTAGACTTACAAAGTTTTGTGCTTGGGTTTCAATTATACAATGATCAAATACCCATCCCTCCACCGGTGCCCATTTCCCACCACCACGGATCCCAGTATCCCTCCCACCCACCATCCCCCCCAACCCACCCTGCCTCTGTGGCAGGGCATTCCATTTTGTTCTCTCTCTCTTATTGGGTGTTGTGGTTTGCAAAAGAGGCAATGGGTGACAATCATGTTTAGTCTATAGTCTACTTTCAGCATGCTTCTCCCATCCTTGGAGATTCCTCCCAACACCCTTTATTTGGTGCTCCCTTCTTTATCTGAGCTCCCTTTTCCCATAGCATGTGTGGCTGGCCTCCAAGCCATGGAGTAAAATTCCTGATACTAATCTCGGCCATTCTTGGGTGTTAGTCTCCTATTTTGTTAATAGTACTTAATTTTATACCACTTCTTAAAACAGTGATACATAGATTATACATATACTTCTGTACAAAAATAATACATATATTTACCAGACCTTTTATAATTTTTATTTTTCTCCTACTTTACCATCTTAATTTAACATTTTAAATGCTTTCAATTTTTTTGGCAATTTAGACAATTTTCTTTTTATTCATCACCTCTCTGTCTAGGAGAGTTCTAGTAAAACATTAACTTCTCATTAATTATTTAATAGTTAATAATCTTTGAAATGAATTTATGTTAAGCAACTGTATATCATGTTATTATTTACTATTAATTTATATTTTATTGGTAGAATTCCATGAAATTCAGGTATCTTGAGGTTTTGAGACACTGAAATCCAACTAGGATTTCAGAATAACTAAGACACTGTAGAGTTTGTCTGTTAATTTTGCACAACTTTACTCAATATAAATTTCTATTTCTTAATGCCAACATGCCTTCCAACAACGTAAAGTAATAAAATTGCAGTTAATAACAGAAGCAATTGACAAAAGCTTTAAGGAGTCTTCTTTTTCTTTATATGACTCTTTTGAATTTTGTGTGAAGAAGTAGAGAGTTGGAACAAGTGACAAATGAGAAAATATTAGGGTGAGATATTAAAATAAGAAAATAAAGTATAGAAAATAAGGACTTTATGAAAAGCACCATATTAGTTTGATTCCTACATAATTTATTACATTATGTGTTTTGGATAGAATTTTGTCTTTCAGAATTACCAAGGATTGAAGGACAGATAAAATAACCTGTAATTACAGCATAGATCATTCTAAGGCTGTGTATCTGTGTGCATGTGCACATGTGTGTGTGTGACAAAAATAATGTTTTATTTATTCCATTAATTTCTTCTAAAAGGATTGAGGATGGTTTATGAAAAAAATCTTAGACTCAATATAAGACATTTAAGAATAGGTACGAAAGAATAAATTATTAGTATGCTATTATATATTGAAATGAAGCTACAAATTAAGCACATGCAAAATGTATGTCATCAAAAAAGTTGTGTAAAAAGGGAATTCTCATATGCTATTGTGGATTATATATATTGATATAATCATTCTGAAGATACTTAAAAAGGAAAAATAGAATATCATATTACCTAGTTATTCCTCTTTAGGTAAGTATTAAAAAATGTATGCACTATTCAAAACAAGAAATGCATTCAATGTATTCACGATCACATTATGTACAACATCAAGATATGGAAAGAACCTGTTTATTTGCTGACAATGTATAAAAGATAGGTGGCATATGTACATAATAAGATAATACTCAGTTATGAAAACTGAAATATTGCTGTTAGTGACAAGTATGGATATGGAGGGTATCCTGCTTAGTAAAATAAGTCAGAAAAAGACAAACACCAAAGGCTTTCCCTAAAATGTGAAAGATTAAAAAATAAAACTGATTAAAAAATTAAATAAAACAACAACAAAAATCTTTAAGGCTAGGGATACAGCTCATGATTTACATGTGTGAGGACCTTGATTTCATCCCTGGAACCACAAAAATAAAACCAAACCCCCCCCCCCCCCCCCGAAACCAACTTGGTGATTATCAGAGGAGAAAGGGAAGAAGCACTGATGGACTTGATAAAAGGAGTAAATTGTATGGGGGAAGTTGGAAACTAGATTTTAGTTTATAATGCAGACTATAAATGCAATGAATTATAATGCTGTACACCTGAGGTCTAGTCAATGTTATAAATCAACATTGCTTCAATTGTTTAAAGCATACATGTAATTATTTGATCTTGGTTGGTCAATAGAGTTCTAAAAGTACTGACATTTACTGGCTTGTGACTTTAGATATATTTGTTCATAATGTACACAAAATTTTGTTTGTGCTGTGCTTTTAAACATTTACAAAATATTGTTCTTATCTTGTAAGATATGACAGTCTAGATTGGAAAACAAGATCTAGCCAATGGAAACAATGAGAATTTACTCTTGGAATTATATTCTTACACATAGCTCTTCTCCACTAAGCCTCCTGTGTTCCCTTTCTTCTCATCATGTGGAAATACTAGTAATAAAATGTATATTCTTGTCCCTTCTTGGTTAAGGCATTCTTTACCAGGATTAGAAGGTTTAGGTTATCCCTTTCAACTTTGATCAAAGGGCATCATCATTACTTTTGGAAATAACCATCCTTGACTCTGCTTTACTTTTTTTGTTATTAATGCTTTTCCTGTGACCGAGGTTTTGGACAATTCCAATTATAATTTTTCCTCCTAAAACTTTCCACATCTACATCATCCATGCCCTGGTGGTATATCCCTATATTACACCATTGTCATTTATATTACTTTTTATGTCTACAGATGCCTTTACCCCCTAGAGTTTTCTCTCATTTAACTTTGACACATATCTTCATTATCTCCCTGAGAGGAACTCCAGGGGCCTAGAAAGTACTGCTGGAAATGGCTTATACAGTTTCCCAGAGGTAGTAACAATTTGGTGATGCAAATTTTACCAAGGAGACAGTTGTTTGATTTTGAATGAGCACAGCTGTGAAGCACTCTTGGTACTCACTGATGAGAAGGGAACTGGGGCTGGGCCAGACCAAAGCTGGAGAAGTTAAATCAACTCAAGGGCCCCAAGTGGAACAGAATATCTTCCAAAGGTCCAGTGCTCAACAATTAGTCTCAATTTTACAGTGTAAAAACTGGAGTTTAAAACCCAATGGTATTCCATCTAAGAGGATAGAGCTATGGGAATTTCCTGGAAGAAGTAGGGATCCAGAGTTGATAATAGTATGATGACTATAATAAGATCAGACCTCAGGTCATTTTCAGAAGACCATGCTCAGTTTCTATTTATACAGTTACCTGCAAGAATCCTAGTATTTAAACCTCTGGTAGCCATCTACGCAAGCAGATCTGTACCCTATTACAAAGAAAGATTCTTTTTCTTAAATTGGGATTATAAGTTTATAAAATAAATTTTGTATGTTTTTGCTTTTTATGAGTACACATTAAAATGGTTTTATTTGATTCTGTCATCATAAGAAAAGAGTTAATTTTACATTTTTAACCTTTGGGTAGTGTTGGGAGTTTTCACTTAAAGTAGGTGAATTCAATCCATAGAACTAACAGACTCTTCTATAAATGACTTCCAACAATAATAATTCTTTAATTATTATTAACTCATTGTATTTCCTTGTCATTTACAAGTTATAAAAATACCCATGTATTTGTATGTATGACTGCATATAATATACAGTGACCATATTCACCCTTTAACTACTTTTATGGCTTTCTTAAAATAGATGTCCCCAATATTGCATACTTAAATCTCTAAAGGTCAATGCTTTTAGTTTAGTATTATAATTTTCAATAAGTTTGTATAGTCAAAATAAGATTTTTTTGGCTTAACAGCCAAGAAAAG